CTCAAAAATAAGCCAGACAAATACGGTCTGAAAATGCAGTGTTTCGTAGACTCTAAGACACATTTTTTGCTAAATGGTTTCATATATACTGGAAAAGATACACGCAGAGCAAATCAAAAAAAGTTATCCATTCCCACTCTAGATGTTTTGACTTATTCCACCAATTTCTGGTAAAAATAGAAACATAACAGCAGATAATTGGTTTCGATAAAAAGAAATAAAAGAGAGGTTCCTGCTGAATTTCAACCCGGAAAAAACCGGCCACCTAATTCTGCCTTATTTGGTTTTACAGGAAGCGAGAGCCTTGTATCTTTTGTTCCTAAGAAAAATCGTGCAGTGTTGTTAGTGTCAACTATGCATTATTCCAATACAATGGTTAATGGAAAGCCAGAGATTATAAATTTTTACGAGACAAAAGGTGGGGTGGATTCATTGGATAAGAAATGTGCATGCTATAAAACTGGCAGAAGAACTCGTAGATGGCCTCAAGTAATATGGTTTCGCATTTTGGACATTGCAGGATTAAATGCTAACGTAATTTTTAATGGAGTTTAGCAAAATCAAATAATGGAAAGAAGATTGTTTCTAACCACTTTAGGTCAAGAACTTATTAAGGCCCATTTAACTCGTAGAGCTCAGCAAACTTGTTTACCGAGAGAAATTCGTAGTGCCATTTTTAAAGTTTCCGGACTTCAGGAACCAATGCCTGCCGCAAATGCAGAGCCACAACGACGAAAAAAGAGGGAAAGGTGTAAAATATGTCCATATTCCAAAAACCAAAAGAAAGAAAGCTCATCGTGCGATAAATGTCGAGATTTTATTTGCAAAAATCATTCCCACATACAGACGTTATGCATAAGCTGTGTTGAAAATTAAGGTAAAAACATGCTTGTCATTTTTGAGATACGAAATCTAAATCGATTTTTTTTCTTTTAGGTAGAAGCTATGATACCTAGATTTCACCATTGGATATAAAAAAAAACTGCACATTGTTATTATTTTTCTTATAATTCGAGAAAGTGCATAGCTATGTTAATTTGACTGAATACAAAAGTTTTTTTTAAATAAAGTTATATCTAATTAACCAAATTTGTTTATTTTTATATAAATGTAAAAGTAGCTGTAAACAAAATAATTTAAAATAAAACAAGTTAAAAAAATAATATTTTTTTAATACAAAAAACAATGGGGGGTCAAATTTGACCTTGCCATGGTACAAATGTTACTATTTTTGGCCATGGTAGTTAAGGGGTATACATGGTATATACATCATTCTGTCTCCGGCTTCTATATACCATGTAGCTTCGCCATCCTTCAAAACATTTTAAAGTGTTTGTTTGTCTTTGTGTAGTGTATTGTTATTTCCCATTTTACATTTATGACATACTGCTCTTGTCGGATAGGCCACAACTGACGAAATGCCCCTGAGGATGATCTAGTGATCGAAAGTACTTGGGCAAGATTTAATTAATACTGTGTTCGATATTTGCCTTGTATATCATCAAAATAAGGAAACTCCTAAAAGAGTTCCGACTTGATTTTCGGTCCTTGCGTTGTCATATTTGTGGACGAGCAAGAAATAAGAGCACAAGAAAATGGAGCAGCAGCTGTGATCAGTGGACTTGTCCAAGACATTTAAAGCAAATATGTGTACATTGTGCTGAGATAAATCAGAATATGCAGTCTGAATCAGAATTATAGTTTATTCGTCTTCCGGGTTTGGACCGTGTCATTTGTGAGTGACCCAAAAGTGGGTTCATCTCGACGTTTCGCTACAATTGTATGTAGCTTCTTCAGGAGAACAAAAAAAGAAAAAAGAAAGCAAGAAGAAAACAAAGAACAGGAAGATGGGTAGTTAGCAACGGTAACTCAGTTACTCAACGCAACCAGAGGCGAATACTAACTACCAAGATGGGCATTTGGTCACAGTAACTCAACTACTCAACGCAGCCAGAGGTGAAAACCAAATGCCAGGACAGGGATTCACGTCCAACAGCTCAGAACACTAACGCGTCGAGAGGCGGGGAGTGAAATGCCAGGACAGGGATTCACGTCCAACAGCTCAGAACACTAACGCGTCGAGAGGCGGGGAGTGAAATGTCATTTCACTCCCCGCCTCTCGACGCGTTAGTGTTCTGAGCTGTTGGACGTGAATCCCTGTCCTGGCATTTGGTTTTCACCTCTGGCTGCGTTGAGTAGTTGAGTTACTGTGACCAAATGCCCATCTTGGTAGTTAGTATTCGCCTCTGGTTGCGTTGAGTAACTGAGTTACCGTTGCTAACTACCCATCTTCCTGTTCTTTGTTTTCTTCTTTCTTTCTTTTTTCTTTTTTTGTTCTCCTGAAGAAGCTACATACAATTGTAGCGAAACGTCGAGGTGAACCCACTTTTGGGTCACTCACAAATGACACGGTCCAAACCCGGAAGACGAATAAACTATAATTCTGACTCTGGCCGTGGAAGCCTACGATTTCATCAGTCTGAATCAGATTAAGATGTTATATGTAGGATATTATAGAACCTAGTTTGGTTTGTAACGTTTAGTTATAGGTAACTTTGATTTATAGCATTTGTTTTTGAATTTTCATTTTTTTTTTAATTTAATGTACATTTTACTTATAAAATATTATATATTGCAGTGGTATTATTAAAACCTAATTAAAACAATAACACTGTCTTCAAATAATATTGCTTTTAAAGAGCTCCAGTACGTCTGGACTACTAATAACCATTTAAACTACAAGAAAACAAATATATTTAGTCTTTTAGGGGATAAAATCATTAGCACTTAAAAAAGAATAAAACATTAATTTAACTACTTTTTAACGTCGTAAATAAATTCAATGATTTATTGAATAATTTTGTAATAACCCCGATAAAAACAACAACAAAATACCTTGAAATACAGTAAAAAAAATTATTAAAATTTTAATCAAACCATAATATAACCTTAAAATATGAACATTCATGGTAAATATCTTAATCCTTTGGTATTGTGGCCTTGTTTGCGAGAAGCAAGGTAGTCCGGGCACACTTTAAACTGTTTTTTTGATTTATTAACAATAAACTACATACTAAAAACAAGTAAGAAAACTGTAAGAGTTCTTTTCGTTGTTACTTCGTGGTGTGATCGTGTTCTCACAGGCATCAGCTGGCTCTGAATTCCTCTTCTTTGCCCCGTCGACGTTCCCTTACTTCGGTAGCACAGTCAACCCATGTGTGGCTGGAAGTTAACTGTCAATCTACCACAGGGCTCCCCTCTAGTGAGGAACCTGCCGGTTTCGAACGGCTATGTTGACCTGTGTTGCTCATCAGACGGTTGGCATATACATGTTCTTTCTGCACCTGTTGGGCCGCTGGAATATATGCTGGTTTGAGTCGGTCCATGGAAATTCGCCGAGGAACATTTTGGACATCCACAGTTAAAAACCTATCACTGCTGTTGCACCAGTTGCTGGACGCCAAACCGGGATATCCATCCCTCAAGAAGCTTCTGCGTGACAACTTCGGTTGTAATCTCCGAGATAGGTATGGCCTCTGGCCATCTTGTGAAACGTTCGATGATTGTCAGCAGGTATCTAAAGTTCTGATTTGCTGGAAGTTAGCCCACGATGTCGATGTGTATGTGTGCGAATCGATCGTCTAGCATTCCTAGAGGTGTAACAGTGTGGCGTCCAATTTTGGCATGTTGACATTAGATGTACTCTCGTGACCACTGCTTAACTTGGCGATTCATGTTATGCGACACAAAACGTTCAGCAACCATTCGTAATGTATGCATTAAATTAATAAAGCATGCCCTGGGTGGGACTGCCTGGGGAACTTCAGGAAAACATCTCTTTGGAACACATCTGGCACATAAACTCGTATACGACCATCTTGGACTAAACAATAAATAGGTCACTGGCTATCTGGAAGAACTATGCGTTGAAGTTGTAAGGAACTGGCAGAACTGTTTAGAGTCTGTTGAAGACCCTCATCTGTAGTCGGAGCTTCGGATAGCCGGTTATAATCAATGGTAATAGGTGTTGTGATAGCGTTTACTTCAGGTCGTGAGAGACAATCGGCAACGACATGGGCTGCGCCCTGTATATGTCGAATATCGGTCGAGAATTGGCAAATAAATTCTAGTTGACGTATCTGTCGTGGAGACTGCCGCTCATGTCGCTGTTGGAAGGCAAACGTTAAAGGCTTGTGATCAGTATAAATGGTAAACGGCATGCCCTCAAGAAAATGGCGTAAGTGATGTATGCCACCGAATATAGCAAGCAACTCTCGGTCATAAGTGCTATAGTTTCGCTTCGTCCTAGAAAGCTTTAGAAAGAAGAAAGCGATGGGCTGTAGGTGTTCACCTATAAGGTGTTGCAAAACACCGCCGATGGCAGCATCTGAGACATCAACTGACATGTTCAATTGGGCATTTGGTGCTGGAAAAACAATTCAGTCGACGCGGCCAAGAGTTCTTTGACCTTGGTGAAATCCGTTAAGTGGCATTAGCTCATTGGCAGCATTAGGTAACCAACGTCTGTAGAAATTGAGCATACTTATAAATCGCCGTAGCTGTCAATAGGTCGTAGGTTGTGAAAACACGCCGTAGATTTAGTCGGCAATGGACGAATGCCAGTTGGGGATACCGTGGCACCCAGAATGTTTGGGCATATCGTGGCACCCATGTACAAATGTCCATGTTACAGGTTGGCCTAGACCAAGGTTTAGTTATTGTGCATCGAAACATATGGTTTCTGACCATATGTTTGGATGCACGATCCGGTGGCAGAATACAGGCATACAGTGCTGGCCTGAGTCGCAGTGCAGATTTTACGTGGAAGCACACTTAGGTCTACCCCAGTATCAATAATAAACTGAAGTTGGAGAGCACTATCGGTAATGAAGAGGCGGCGTAGTATGTGAGGGGCTGTGGTTGCCGCCATTACTGCGCCCTTTGATCCTTTTTGTAAAATTCTAGGGTGGTCTACATTTCTTTGCTTGTGCACCAAATCTTCAATGGTAGTAACACTGTTCTTCAGATGATGACTTAGTACTCTTGACCATTTGAATCTGTTGCCCTTCTTCAGTTACAGTTAGTCTGTTGGATAAAGCATTCACTTGGTCACTCAATGCAGCAACTGTTTTGTCTGAAGTAGAGCTTTCGGTAACAACCACGACTGGAAAACTGAAACACCGGAGGTACGTATCGGCTTTCTTAGCAAGTTCTTCTAGGTCTCCATCAAGAATAGATATAACGCTTTGAACTGAAGGTGGTAGGCGGTCCAACAAAAAGTTTTTGAGAACGTGCGTACTAATGCTCTCCATGGCCAAAGCTTGCATTCGATGGAGTAGTTGAGTGGGTTTTAGGTCACCCAGAGTGAGTTCCATCAACTTGTGGATCTTTTCATCTGAGCTGGTGCCATACCTGTCTAGAAGTCGAGCTGTTAGTTGTATATAGGCATTTTCAGCAGTGGGATTCTTTACTATGTCTGCTACTTCTAGAAGAACTTCACTATTTAAACTAGCAACAGTATGGTCGAATCAGTTGTCGGTTGTGATTTTGGCTTGCAGAAACTGCGCTTCCAGCCTGAGAAACTATAGTTCTGGTTCAGTGCGCCAAAACTCTAGCGCTTTGATGCCTACCCGTGAAATTAAGGAGTGATCATCGCTTTAGCTCGGTGTAATATTCATATTGTTTGGCATTGTTTCATCGGTGTTTGTCATAGTTGTGTATAAAATGTTGTACTTACAGTTTTTTTCTCGGGGTCACCAATGTGGCCTTGTTTGCGGGAAGTAAGGTACTAAAAACAAATAAGAAAACTGTAACAGTTCTTTTCGTTGTTACTTCGTGATGTGATCCTGTTCTCACAGACATCAGCTCTGATCTTCTCTTCTTTTCTCCGTCGACGTTCCCTCACTTCGGTAGCACAGTTAACCCATGTGTGGCTGGAGGTTAACTGTCAATCTGCCACAGTATACTTACCTCACAAATTCACGAACAACAAATAATACCAATCGCACAGAAGGACTGTTCATAACCAAAAGTCCTTATTTATTCTTCAAACAATTAAAAAAACAATATTTAGAACTTCTTATGGGACAAATACACACAAATTAGAAATGTTTGGAAAGTTTCATCCATCCTTACAAACTAATAAGGGTTGTTTTTTAAGTTGAAATAAAATAAATTCATAACATTTTGATTAAAAAAATTATTGTATTTATAGGTTCAATGAGAAAAAAATACTACAGCTATTCGAATTTCTTAGCAAGGGGTGATATTTATAAGTGTAAAAATTATATGGTAGAAAATGAAAATACTAAAGAACTCTAAATTTAATCTCACTGTATAATTGAATAATTCCAAATTGCTTGAATTTACGATTATATGATTTTTTTCTAATAGGGGTCGTTTTCGCCCATAAAAAATAAAAAGCAACCAACGGCACAAGTCCAATTTTAAAGTGGAAGGTGTCACCTAAATCCAAATTTTGTGCAAATCAGTGGAGACAAAGTAATAAATGACATTACTTTAATTATAAATATTCTAGAGGGTAAAATTTAGGAATTTAACTGTGATAAAATTTTAAATTATGTTTTTTAATCTTAATTTACATTTATTCACTTTATTAAAAAATTATTTGAATCAATTACCTACTTTAATTTACAATTATACGATTTTTTCTAATAGGGGTAGTTTTCACACCTAAAAATCCAAATTTTCATGCCATTCGGTGGTGACACGGTAAATTACAGAGTATCGCCGTATTTCACCCTTATTTTCTAGTCAAAGAGTAAAATATAAGAGAATTTCAACAAGATTAATGCCTCTATTTTCCGGTGTTCTGTTATTTTATTTTTAAAGATTTAATTGTGGTTGAATTGACTTCTTCCGGCTGTAGTTTTTATGATCCACTATTATCCTACAAACAAACCATAAAGATGAAATGTTTTTAAAAGCTTTTTTAAAACTGATGTGGGAAATATTGATTTCCGAGTATTTCGTGACGTGTTTATACGGTTGATTATAAATGGATGTTGTAAAATAAGCAGCTTTTTCTTATTGGTTAGCACTATATGTACAGGGAAATACATATATATTTAATGCTATTGCTAATGTTCGTTTAGCCATATAATCTGTCTATATCAATTTTATTATTTCAGTAGTATAGGGACATTTTATTTTATATATTTTTGTTTTAGTATATTTTCAATGTCGGATTAAGGCCGATATAAAATCAGAGGTTAGCTTGGCTCCTTATGTAGAAGCTTAGATCGTAGTTAGTGTTGTATTTTACAATTTAGCGCCTATTTGTTTTCTGCTCCTCCATCACAACATAAATTTTCGGCGAATAAAACTTTGTAAATTCCCAATAATCGTTATTTTTGTGTGTGTTCTTGTGTCTGCATATGCTAGACCACGACGAAATGGCCTCAACCTAAGGAACAGCGAATTTGACGATAGTTATAGCGATAGGGGAATATCTCAGCCCTAAAAGGGTTTAGGCTCCTTATTTAGCCTCCAGATGTTACTATAAAAATGCCGAGATCAGATCAGATTTGATCGAGTTAAACACACAGAACTCATACAATCAACACAATATGGTATAGACCTGTAGCACTTTTTAAAAAACTTTTTTTTTTTTAACCTATTCTCTATCCTTCCATTGTTGGATATAGGTCTCCCCCAGTTCTCTCCATCTTTCCCTATCTTGAGTTGTTCTCTGCCATGTGGGACCTCCTTGTTTCCTGATGTCATCTTTCCACCTCATCTGTGGTCTGCCTCTTGATCTCTTTGCATTGTATGGACGCCACTTTCCAATGGCATTGTTCCATCGTCCGTCTTGGAGACGTTCATTGTGTCCAGCCCATTTCCATTGGCCTATCCTATCCAAATTGGCCTGTGTAAATGTCCATGTCTGTGCTCCGTAGGTGAGCACCGGTATGATACAGGAGTTATATACCTTGCTTCGTAAGTATAGAGGGATTGTTTGATTTTTTAGAACGTAAGAAAGTTTGAGGAAACGCTGCCCATCCCATTCTTACTCGTCTCGATATTTCGGCTGTTTGATTTTCTCTATTAGCTCTGATTGCTTGTCCTAGATAGATATACTCATTTACCTGTTCTATTTTTTCTGTTTTTATTTTTATTGCCTCTTGGTCTTCCGTGTTTGTCATTACTTTTGTTTTGTTGAAGTTAATTTTTAGGCCTTTTTGAAGTGATTTTTCATGAAGTTCATTCAGCATTAATTCCAGTTCTTGTCGTTCCGAGGAGATCAGGAGAATATCATCCGCATATCTAAGGTGATTTAGGTATTTTCCGTTAATACAAATTCCTCTGTTTTCCCAATCTGTTGATTTTATTATGTCTTCGAGGGTCAAGGTAAACAGTTTAGGTGAAATTATATCGCCTTGTCGGACTCCTCGTTTAACTTTTATATTATCCGTTATTAATTTGTCGTCCAGAATTACGGTCATGGTTGCGTTTTGGTAAATATCATGTATCAATTGTCGGTATCTTGAATCTATTCTACTATTGACCAGAGCTTCTTTAACCGCCCAGTGTTCAATGCTGTCGAAAGCCTTTTCATAATCTACGAATGCTAAGTACAGCGGAAGGTTGTGTTCATTGTATAAAAAACTATATTGGGATCAAATGGCGTCGATCAAAATAGACAGTCGTCTGACAGCAGAATTGCCAATAAAAAGAGTAGTTCTTTAGGGCTGTGTACTTTCTCCATTGTTATTTAATATATATTCCGAAAAGATCTTTCAAAATGCCCTCGAAAATATTGAAAAAGAAATAAAAAAAAATCAACGGAGAATACGTAAACAACTTAAGATACGCAGACGACACCGTCATTATTGCAGACAGTGCTGATTGTTTACAACCACTTTTGAATGTCATAACCAGAGAGGGATATAGCTTATTACTAAATATAAACACAAATACAAAAAAGAGGTTAATCTTTGTAAGTGGGTATATTTATTTAAAAACCCTTAAAAGGGCTACATCAAAAAACAAACGTTTTCGGATTAAACAGTCCATCATCAGGTTTAAAATCTGCCTAAAATAAGTAGAAACCATTTAGTTAAAACAAACGTGATTATGAAATTTTGACTATGGTTAAAAAAGCAAAATGGCTATACTTACTAGGTTAGAATGACTGAGCCACCAAAATACATGGGTAAAAACCCTTTAAATTACTTATAGTTATCAAGATTATACATCTTGTTGTTAAAAAACTGTGATGTTCATTATTAAATTAGATATGACTTCAGGTAACATACATTGCAAAAAGTTTTGAGTTCCAGCTGTTCTCCGTGCGTAGAGGTTTTCTCCCCGGCTCTCCCCGGCAATCGATTGCACATTTGTGCAATCGATTTTGAAAAGGCTTTTGACAAAGTCCGACATAACAAAATGCTAGAAATATTGGAAATAGCTGGATTGGATGATAAAGACCTACGAATAATTAGAAATCTATACTGGCATCAAGTGGCAAGAATAAAGGTTAAACAAGAACTGTCGGATGAAATAAATATAAAAATAGGAGTGAGACAAGGCTGTATATTGTTGCCTTTACTTTTTAGCTTATATTCGGATGAAATATTTAAGGAAGCCTTAATGGAGTCATCCGAAGGTATTATTGTGAATGGAGTAACCGTCAACAATATTAGATATGCCGACGATGCCTTAGTACTTGCTAATTGCGGAGAAGACCTTCAAAATCCAATGAACAAAATAAAATAGACTTGTGATCAGTACGGATTAAAACTCAACGTTAAGAAACGATCTTAACATTGACCTTAGAGTTTGAATGACATCTTGCTACATATTTCCTGTCCTGCTGTATGGAGTGAAAGCGTTGACTGTAACTGAGGCTATCCTTAAACGCTTGACAGCCTTTGAGATGTTGGTATACAGACGACTACTGAAATAAGCTGGGTCGACAGAGTCAGGGAAAGATCCGTGGTAATCGTGGGTCCTGGCAGAAGAAAAACATCATGGCTGAAAAATCTGAAATGAAAGGCAATGGTATGGAAAATCAACTACATTGTTATATAGAGCTGCAGTCAATAAAGTCACGATAGCCAATATGGTAGCTAACATGATATCCGATATGATATCGGTCGATATCATATCGAATATCATATCATGATGATGATCGATAACGGTCATGGAACTATAAGAAGAAGAAGAAGATCATGTCACCGCGGGGGAACAAATAGCGGTCTATCATCCTTCTATTGCCTCCGGGTGCTCTGTAGAGGGCTTCGGAGACGTCAACGAAAGCACCTCTACCCAAGTCCCTTTTTAAGGATAT